CAAACTCATCAGTGTCAAGATGGTGTTCATTAGCCATCTTCTATGGACTGAATGTGTCCTCCCCCAAATTCATACATTGAAATCCTATGCCAAGGCATTAGGAGGCAGGGCCTCTGAAAGGTGCTTAAGTCATGAGGGTGGAGCCCTTCTAAATGGGCGGGGCTAATGTCCTCATAAAAGAGACTCCACAGAGATCCCTCACCCCTTCCACCAAGTGAAGACACACAGAGGTCAGCTGTCTACAACCTAGAAGAAGGTCCTCAACAGAAGCTGAAGGTATGCTGCCACCCTAATCTGGAACTTCCAGCCTCCGAAACTGTGAGAAGTTTCTGTTGTTAATAAGCCACCCAGGCTGTGGTGTTTTGTTACAGTAGCCCTGACACGACATGCTAAGACACCACCCGCCCCCCCAGCACTCCAGAAAAACCACACCTCCTCCTGTCTTCCCTTTCCTGGTGGACGGCACCCCTCACACCCAGTGACCAAGACAGAAGCCATCTCATTAGCTCCCCCTTACCACCCCTCCTGCACACTCACAGACTCCCTTCCTTAAGTTCTCACATCCATCTCTTTCTCCAGCTGAATGCTACTGTTGGAGCTTATACAGCAGTCTCCTAACTGGCACCTCTGCCTCCAGGCTTCTGTCTTCATCCAGTCCTCTCTCTATACTACCACCCAGTTAAGCTTTAAAACAAACAAAATGTGAATCTGAGGTCACTCCTCTATTTAAACCCCTTAAATGGCTCCTTGTTATCTGCGTGATGGCATCCAAACTTCTGAGCACAGCAAATCGGTACTGCGTGATCAGGCCCCTCTAGTCTTCCGGCCCTTCTCTCACCCTCTCTCCAGAGTTTATTCACACAAAACTAATTACAGCTTCTCAAATGTCTCCACCCGTGCCATACCTTTTGGTCTTTGTACCTGGATCCTCCTCTCCTATTTCACTTCGGTTACCTCTCTATTGTATCACTCACCAAACTGTATGCGCTATTATTTCGGGCATACACGTAACTCCTTCGTTAGAATAAAAGCTCCTTGAGAACACAGATTATTTCTTGTTTTTTTAGTTCCCCCAAACTAAAAGTGTCTGGTACACACTAAGTATTCGATAAATGTTTCCTAGTAATATCAAAAGTCCGAGCTCTATATGGAGACGTTCTGATTTTAGTCCCTTATACAAGTGCCACACCCCATATCCTGTCCTTTACTCCCAGTCATGCCAGACCCTCTGTACCTTAATCTTATAGTCGTCTCCTCCAGAGACAAACAGCGGCTGCTGCTTATGGAAGTCAATGCCCCGTACTGGACCTGGCGAAGAAAGCAGGCGATGCATGTTAGGCAGCTGGACTTGCTTAGCTCTAAAGTGATCCTTATTCAGGATTATTCAGTTCCAGCCCTTCCATATTCTTTAATCCTAAAAAAGCTTAAACTACTCCAGAAGACAACAAATACTTAGATCTCTTTAATTGCCTCCTAGAAATTGTTATCTTACCATCATGTTCATCAAACTTGTCAATAAGGGTACACATCCGATAGTCCCATAACTGGATGACCCCATTGTGTAAACTGGTCAGGATCCAGGGTCTTTTGGGGTGAAAACTGAGCCCTAGGGGGAAAGAAAAAAACAAGGAATGATCCAAGTAGCTAAGTGTGCCCCCACAATGCCACCCCCTTTCAATTCAGGTAAGAAAAACAAATACCTAGGTTAATCCTAGGTTCATATGCTCCTTCACTGAAGGCCAGACATTATAAATTGTAAGCTATTAGGTGCTGGATTTTTGTTATATTCCTTTACATATTGTTGCGCTTTGTTTTAGGATGTCGTGAGGTCACCTGTTTTGAAGTTTGCTTTCAGTTTTGTTAGTGTGGGTCAACAACTTCCTTTAGTCTAGATCTAATTTGGCACCACTCTTAAGGTGATACCACCTGAGGTCTCTAGGTGATGCCCTGCAGTATTGGGAGGCTTTTCCAGTCCGGCCAGTAGGAACACAAAATTATTCCCAGCTCTCAGCGAGCTCCAGGGATTATTCTGCTTTCTCCCCAGGGGTTCTATCCCAGGCTTCGGGTCATTTCCGCACATGCATATGCAGATCAGACAAAGGCTTGACAGGATCCCCTGCGGAACGCCAGTGTTTTCTGTGCAGCTCCCTCTCCGGTGTTTTGTCCAGCAAATTCTAGCTGTCGTGGCTGCCCTGAACCCTAAACTCAGTCTCCACAGTGAACTACAGGGCTCTTCCCCTTTCCCTATCCTGCAGCCTGGAAACTCTTCGGGCAGTAAGGTAAAAAAGCACTCACGGGACTCTCCTTGTTTATTTCCATTCTCTTAAGAATCACTCTCCTGCACTGCCTGCCATCCAGTGTCTGAAAACTTTTGTTTCACACATTTTGTTCAGTTGTGCAGCTGTTTAAAGGTGAGAAGATAAACCTGGTCTCTGTTACTCCTTCATAGCTGGAAATGGAAGTCCACAGAAGGAACAAGTGCTAACAGTCTGGAGTGTATCCTTTCAGACTTCTAATGCAGATTGTACCATTTTATGAACATGGAAAGACGTTATGCAAACTTCTCAGCTATACGTCATGGATCTTACCAAATACATACAAACCTAATCTCGTTCTTTTTAACAACAGCAAAATACAAATTTATCACATTTTAAAATTATTCCAGGGATGAGCACTTAAGTTTTTCCCCCTAACTTTCATCTATCAGAAAATAGAGCCTAAAGAAAATACGTCTACACATAATCTAGCTTATTTGCATTATTACTGCTTTAGGCTAAAGACCTGGAAGTAGGATTGCCAGGAACAGAGTATGTCCATTTAACATTTTTATAGACACTACCCTATTGCAAAAAGACCATAGATTTACAGTCTCATCAGATTTCTGAAGAAAATAATTTTGCATACACTGGCCAACACAGATGCTATTGGTTATTTGTTGTTTTGTTTGTTTTACTAATCTAATATCAAAAAAGGGTTACTTAAGGATCTTTTTTTTTAACATTTCTTTCATTGTTAGTGGAGAATATTTCCATTTATTTACCGAACATTTACATTTTTTCTTCTAAATTGTGTTTTTTCCCATTAGGTTGTTCATTTTTTCCCCTCTATGACATACAGTAATAGTCATTAAAGGATACGAACTCTCAAATATTCTGACATCTTTTTCCTCACTTCCCTTTTCTATTGCCCAATGAGAAATCAGGAGCAGAAGAGAAAATTCAAAGATGAGGAAGACCCTTTCAGCCATCCATAAATTCTTGACGGCATGCTTCACGATCAAGACTCCCACAAGACTTAGAAACTGCTCAGAATCAGGGCACCTGGGTGGCTTAGTTGGGTAAGCTTCTGACTCTTGGCTTCAGTTCAGGTCATGATCTCACAGTTCAAGGGATCAAGCCCTGCATTGGGCTCCATGCTGACAGCCTGCTTGGGATTCTCTCTCTCCCTCTCTCTCTCTGCCCCTCTTCCAGTTGTACAGGTGCATACTGGCTATCTCGAAATAAATAAATAAAACTTTTAAAAAGTGGGGGAGGGGGGAGTTGCCTTGGTGGCTCAGTTGGGTGAGCATCCGACTACGGCTCAGGTCAAGTTCTCATGGTACATGGGTTCCAGCCCCGCATCGGGCTTTGAGCTGGCAGCAGGTAGCCTGGTTTGATTCTGTCTCCCTTTCTCTCTGTCCCTCCCCCATTTGCACGCCTGCGCTCTCTCAAAAATAAACATTAAGAAAATAAAAAAAGAAAGAAAAGACACTGCTCAGGATCTATTCTTACATTAATAATGGCCTCCAGTTTTTGAGCTACTGAGTCTACGGCAACCACTGTAATAAACATTGTCATACACTATCTCATTCTTATTCTCTCTATAGGAGAATGTTAACTGTTCACATTTTACAGATGAGGAAACAGGTTTAGAAACCTTAACTAAGTTGTCCAAGATCACATGGCTCGTTAAGGAATGCTTCAGGTTTCCAAAGCCCAGGTGATTCCAAACACCTTGCTCTGCTGTGTCTTACTAAATATTCAAGTCGTATACATACATGCACATATTTATACACATATAAAATCTCAAGAGACCTTACTTCTCTGCCTTTCCATTCTAACACTCCAAGAGACTACTGCTGTTTCAGTCATCTGCCCTCCACCCCCATCCGCTGACAGTCAAGCTTTGGAGCTGCCCCATTTAGGAAAAGAGAATGAAAATACCCCGTTACATTTGAACTTCAGATTAACAGCAAACGATACTGAAAATTATTTCGTTATCTGAAGTTCTAATTTAACTGGGAGTCCTGTATCTTATCGGACAACCTGATCAAGCTCAGACTTTACTGGGGTCAGGCCTCAATGTCCCGTCTCCAGGTAGGAAATAGGGCCCAATGGAGGCGCACGGGATGTTGATAGTGATGCAGCCAAAACCTCCCTAAGAGAGGTAGCCGATGCTCATTTCCGAAAACGTCAGACTTGGATGCGAATGGCACAGGTCGAGCCTCGATCCCCAGGGCCACTCCCTACAATACGGTCCTCAAACGCCGACAGGGACCCGTTGAATCAAAGTCGGGAGCACCGGCCCCGGGAGAAGAGGGGAGGTTAAGGAAAGGAGCGGTGCGGGAGCCGCCGCAGGTCAATCACATCCCGAGGGCATTCCGGGCAAGAGAGGGCTGCAGAACCGCCGCCAGGCCCACCCACCCGCCCTCCTGCCGGTGCGGTACGCCCGACACAGCCTCTGTCACCTCCCGCCCCCCGGCCCTCAAGCTCCCCCTCGTCTTCTCCACTACCTTTGACCCGCGCGCTTTTGGTCTCGAATTTGGTGAGCATCCTTGAGGCCTGCGGCTCCGACGTGCCGACCCGAGCCCCGCCACTCCCTGCTGCCCTTCGGCTCCCTCCACGTCAGCGCCGCTCGGCCACGGCTCCCGGAAGCTCCGCCAGCACGAACTTCCGGTCTCGGGAGCTCGAGACCACAGAGACGGCACCAGCGTTGGCCTAGACAAGCCCCTGCCGGACCGGAGGGGAGGGGAGGCTTCCGCTCAGCCGAGAGGCAAGATGGCTACGGCTGGGGGCGGCTCTGTGGCTGACCTGGGGAGTCGGAGCCTTCGCTTTCTGTCTTTCTGCGTCCTGCTGGCAGGTGAGGCCTCCCCCGCGCGTTTGCTCCGGTGTGTTAGGAAGGCCGTCCGAATCGGCCAGGCCACGAGCGCCGCCGTCCCTCTACAGCCCCTCTGCCCCTCTGTACCCCCACCCTGTAAATCCTCTTTCTCTTTCGTTCCCACGACAGAAGGCCCCCCCGCCCCTACTTCTTTGCCTGGACTTGGCTTGAGGGTCCCTTCTACCCCGCGACACGTCATGTCGCCCCATTTCCTCCTCCGGGCTTCTTCCCGGACTTCCAGCCTGACTGACCACCTGCCTCGTTTTCCCCACGGCCGGAGTCACCCCACCCACTGCCGGAAAGGACAGGTGTCAGTTCAGCCTCTTCCCACTGCGTTTAGCCTGGGACAAAAGCGGCCTCGTCCTGTGGGTGCAGAGCGGCGCATCACCAAGTCGATTCCTCGTTCCCTCCTCTGTTGATTCCACTAGCAATCTGCGTCCCTGTGTTTTGCCTCAGTTTTCCTTATCAGTGAGATGTGATAAAGATAGGATATGGGTCCTCTTAGCTGTTGAGACCGTGGAATAGCGATTCAAGGAACTTCAGGCATTTACAGTGTGCAGAAATGTTTGCTTACACGCATGTGTGTCCTGGTATAGGTCTTTCTGGTTTGATCAGGCCCTAAAATGCAAACGTGCCTGTCCATAACTGTGCACCTTCCCCCAAATTCATATTATCTTTAAAGATTCCCCGAAGGAGAAACTATAGTCGCACAGACAAATGACCTGTGGATGTTAGATTAATTGACAGATCTGTGGCATCAGGTTTCTCTCAATTCTGTTCAGATTCCTGGAAAATTGTCTCAAAGACTTTTTTTTTGCAATCTGTATTTTTAGACTGGCACCCTCTCATTAACGAGATCGATGTAGACACAGAAGGTAGAAAGCAGAAGTGTGCTCACCCATGCAACCAGAAGCTGGAACATCTGAGGTTACATGCTTTTCCTTTAGGAAATGAAGCTTTCTGTCGCTGCCCTGATTGGAATTTGTAATAACTTTCTGTGGCTAACATAGCTGGACTCATTCATCTGATCCGGTTATGTGTCCAAGAAGTGAGAAGAATGGACATTAGTCCCACTTTAGAAAGGACGAAACACCCAAGCCATCCAAGTGAGCTAATGACTTGATAGTGCCAACGCCTCTCATCTTCTAATGCTTTTTATGTTCCACGCAGGTTTGTGCAGGGGAAACTCAGTGGAGAGGAAGATCTACATCTCTTTGAATAAAACAGCTCCTTGTGTCCGTCTGCTCAATGCCACTCATCAGATTGGCTGCCAGTGTGAGTTGAGGTTGGGATTTGTGTTTGTGGCCAGTGATGTTTCAACCTGTGCCCTAGATCTCAAGATCCAAGTCCTGCTTGGGAGTCTCAGCACACAAATTAGGCTGTGTGGGTAGGAGGTAACAGAGAGCCATTTGTCAGACGAGACAAGATAATTAGTAGGCGCTAATGCTTAGGAAGTGCTGCACACTTGTGCCTCTTGTATGTGCATTTCATTGAACCATCACAACAGCCCCATGAAGTAGATTCTCTCTGACATATGACAAAACGGAGACTGAGAGAAGTTGAGTAACTTCCCCAAGATCATCAGGCTATTAAGTGATGAAGCTAGGAACTGAGACCCACGGTCCCTGTTCCAAGTCAGGACACTTAGCCATCTACTCGTTAAAGTAAAAAACGGTACTGTTTTCTAAGGAGAAAGGAGCCTCATGGTGTATGAGTCCATCGTCACCTGAACCATCTTTTTGGAACCAAAATGGACTTCTTGTAGGCAGTGGACTCTTTGAAGGGAAGGCATTGAGAAAGCCAGATAGGTGCAGGAGGAATTAGTGAAGTATTGGATTTGTCCTTATGTTTTGTAAATGTGTTCCAAAGCAGGGTGCTGTGACTGTGTGGTTCTAAAACTACACAAGTAGAAAAGCGGGTGGGAAGGCTGAACCCCAGTTCCCCTGCCATAAGGCCTCCTCTCTTCAGATTTTGTTTGTTCAATGAAGAGTTGCTCTGTGAGAATGTAGTTCTGCGGTCAGCAGGAAACTTAGAGTCAGATCTGGCTGCTTTGTCACCAAATCGGTCACCTCTGAATTTCAGTGGATGCCTGTAAAAATGGTTAGAACATACCTGCACAAAGCCAAAAGCTGAACTCTTACAGACATGTATTGACAATGTGAGTAAGTAGTATGGTCTCAGGAGTCCTGCGTCATTGCCTGAAACCCTCCAGTTGTGGGGGGAGGACGCAGACACTGCGAAGTGAAGGACTTGCTTAAGGTGGCAGTTAACTCGGTTCCGGCCCAGCCTTCCCTGAGCGGCACTCTGCATCCACCGTGCTATGTCCCTGCTGCAGGGCGTTCTGGAGGCAGGTTAACTGGTTCCATAGAGTCCCAAGTAAAATTTTTGGACTCCGTTCTTAAATGGGTTTGTGGGTAGAAGGGAGCCAGGTCCAAGTGTGGGCTGAGATCAGACTGCTGGTCTAGCCAGAGCCCCACTCTAATGCTAGGAGGCCAGGATTCCCCCCCCAGAGGTGTGCTCAAAGATAACCTCTGTGGGAATAAGTCACTCCACTTCGTGTTCTTAGAGCAGCCCTGTGGGAAGAAAGCAGCAGCCTCTAGAAATGAGCCAAGTGCCAGTACAGAGAAATGAGAGGGGAGGGGCTGGACTCTGGCCACTTCCTCATTAGGAGCTTGTTTCTAAGTCTCACTTCTATTTGTCCATCCTGAGCAAGCTACACCCTCTTTAATTAGGCTTGCTAGCATGATACATGTAAGGAGAAAAAGATTCAGTTTGGTTTTCTGATTATAATGCTGTTTCTATTGGCTTACTTGATTTTCCTTTATTTTATTTTAAAGATTTTATTTTTAAACCATCTCTACACCCAAGATGGGGCTCAAACCTACAACGGAAAGATTAACAGTTAACATGCTCTACCGGTTGAGCCAGCCAAGCACCCCTGTTGGCCCGTTTTAAAGTGCTCAAAGAGGGTTATATGTTCCTTCCCTTTCCTTTCCTTCCTTTTAAAGTCTCCACAGTATGAGATGACTAAGGGTGAAAAAGTTTCTCTTCATTGAAGGCCCAGAAAAAGTGAGCAAGTTACTCTGGACTTCACAGAATCCAGATTAGAATCCAGGAGTTTTATTCCAGTGCCCTGGCTTCTCTTCTCCCCATCCTCCTTGGAGCTGAAGTTCTATATACTTGGTTTGTCAGAACAGCTTCTCCTTTTTCCGCGTATTATATGCCAAGGACTGCTGCCTTTTGTTGGACTTGGAACTGCCGTCCGTAGCTAAGTCTTTGTTAAAGTCATTCCAGGTTCTGATATTCCTCTAAAGTTGATTATCATCACTATCCGCATGAACTTATTACGCCCTTACCACGTGGAAGCCATAGTTGAATGCTGGGGACTTGCTTCCACATCTATATTTTACCAAATCCCATGGAAGAAGACTTCTACTTGGCCGGCAGTCTGAAAGTGCTTAAGGTTTTTGTGTCACACAAATTATCAATATTTCAGTGCCTGGATCTAGAGCTCTAATTCTCACGACTGACGGTATAATGAAGGATCATACATGGCAGGTTTTGAAAGTCCACATACCTGGGCCTCACCTTTAGAGACTTTAATTTAGTAGGTCTGAAATAAGGCCCAAGTGTCTATATTTTTTAAAACTCCAGAGTGATTCACAACTAGGTTCGAGAACTGTTGCTCTAAAACAATATGACTTTTCATACATGAAGTGAATTTTCACTGGGCAGGAGGCTCCTGGGGAGACTAGGGGATGTCTCCACATGGATCACTGGGACTCAACAGGCATTGCAGCGAAGAACTCAAGGCGTTCTGGACTATAGGTCTCCCTCCTCTACTGCAGCACCACTCGGGCCTCGTCATTCATGAGACACATAGAAAATATTATTTGTATGGCATCCTGGCGTAGATGGAAATGGATGATATTTGTAGGGCATCTTAGGGTAGTAGATGAGTCTGCTACTGGCTGGGGGGTGACCAGCCTAGGGTCTTTGGAAACCCTAGGTCCCCGAAAATGAGGGCGTTAATGTCAGCTCATCCTTAACCCATCAAGGCCCATGAGTTGGGAAGCTGTCTTCTAAAGGCCTCAAAGGTCTTGAGTGATCCTACCTAAAACAGGCAGAAAGCAAATAGTTGTTCCCAAACAGGGCAAAGGAATGGAGACCCAGGAATTCTGAAGCCAAGGGAGTCTGCACATATATTTTTACAAAAGAAGATTCAGTGGTAGAACTCTGAGCTAGAGATCTAGAGCCTTCCATTTCCTGGAGGAAATACAGGTTTGAGAACTGTGCTGTCTGCTGTTCCAGAAATCTGTATGTATGGTTAAATGAGGTTGAGGGAAGAGAGCGAGAGAATGTTCGTACAACCTTTCTGAGATTCAGTGAATGAAGCCTCTGCCGAGTAGACCTCTGGAGCTGTCCCGTCTGCCAGGCACTGCTGGTCTCCCTCAGGTGGAGCTGGGTGATTCAGCACTTCAGCTCAAGTCCAAGTCTGGAGAGAGCTGCATTAACCCAATGTCTGGTGCCATGTTTGGTGGGTAAATGATCTGCAGAATCAGTGAGGCAGAGTCAGAATTGTCAATTGTGGGAGCTCTCATTTGAGCCCATTCTGTCCTGGCAGCTTCCGTTAGTGGGGACACAGGGATCCTCCACGTGGTGGAGAAGGAAGAGGACCTGCAGTGGGTGCTGACTGACGGCCCCAACCCCCCGTATGTGGTTCTGCTGGAGGGCGCGCTCTTCACCAGGTAAGAACCGCCTTCTGGGAAGCCGCAGCCACAGATGGGAAGATTTGGGGGACCGTCCCCACACTTGTGAATAAAAGCTTCCCTTGGCTGCCCTGGTCTGATCAGGGGCAGGGGTGAGAGTGAGTCTTGGAAGAAAACCCGCACCATCAGAGAGTCCTCTGGGTGACCTTATGATAAAGCTCCAGTGAGTAAAGACCCCAGGCAGGAGGGAGAGGTCCATAGGGTCACTCAGCGACAGGGTAGATGAGATCAAGCCCGGAGGTCAGGTTGGGTCATAGCCCTCACTTAGGAGTTAGAGACGGAAAAGGCAAGAAACGAATCAACAGTTTGGGTGGGGGGTGTTTCCATTTCTTTGAGTAGAGTTGACAGGCCACATATGTTCAGCAAGGAGTCGGCTGTTGGGATGCCATTAGTTTTGCATTTGTTTCTGTCCCCGGGGGCGAGATGCTGGCCGGGGATCACCTTCCCAGTCTTCCTTCTCGCCGTGCCCTCCCTGCCCCAGGAATCTGATGGAGAAGCTGAAGGGGACAGCCAGCCGGATCGCTGGCCTTGCAGTGTCCTTGACCAAACCCAGGCCTGCGTCAGGCTCCTCTCCTAGCGTGCAGTGTCCCAATGACGGGTTTGGTAAGAGCCCGGGAGGATCAGGGGATCTCCCATCACACAGAGCTCACTGTTGCTTAGTCTGTCTGTGTGTCTGTCTGTGTGCAGCGTGAGCCTGACTCCCAAACAGAAGATGGTGTTTCCTCGTCTTTGCCGTTCATCCTCTGCTGCTTCCCCTTCTTCCACTTCCCCCCATCCTCCCTGTCTGTCACACGCTCCAGTCCCCGATCAGCCAGCCCGGGGCACCCTGATACCAGTGTCTGTGTTCCTGTAGGTGGTGACAGGTTGATGCTTGCTTCTTTGAGTCCCCCTTTCCTTTGGAACTTTTGGTCCCAACCCTATGATAGCCCAGCCTTCCTCCCTCACTCAGGCGCTAAAGGCTGAGCATCTAACAGCCTAACTCCCGAACTCCCCTTCAGGCATTTACTCCAACTCATACGGGCCAGAATTTGCCCACTGCAGAGCTATCCCATGGAATGCCCTAGGCGACGGCTTGGCTTATGAAGACTTTAGCTTCCCCATCTTCCTGCTTGAAGATGAAAATGAAACCAGGGTCATCAAGCAGGTAATGACCGCCAGCTCCCAGCAGAGAGAAACTTTCTAGGCGCTCCACCCATGGGAGGGCGCAGCCGCCAGGACCCCCTCTGCAAGTCCGTTGCTCCAGGAGCCAGTATGTTTATTTCTTCCCCCTCCCATTTCTTCCCCCTCCCATTTATTTCTTCCCCCTCCCATTTCTGTCCTGTGTCTTCCTCCAGCCTTGACGGCTTTTAGGCTGGAAGAGAACGTGAATTGTATTTGCTCTAAAATAAGGTGTAGACCCCTGGTTAGGAACCCCGAGTGTGGTAAAAAGATCATCAGATTGGGAACTGAGAGAGATTCAGCTCAGAGGCTTCTGAATGTTTTTAGTTCCAGTAACCTCGAGGTCATTCTAGCCTAGCTTCTTTGTTTTGACATGTAGAGCAGTGAAGAGATCTGTTCCAAAGTGACATGGCGAGTTGACCTCCAAGCTGTCTTGAATTTGATGTTTGAGATTTGGCGTGGTGCACTCTACAGCTAATCACGTTGGGAACTGGGGCTGGGCCATTGGGGATGGGGCCCCTTCATCCGCCCCCGCTAAGTCATTGAGTCTGTGCCCCTTCATGTGTCTCGGTGAGGTTTTCTCCTGGACCTCACGCCTCCTGGCTTTGTACCGAGACAGCTATGGCTCAGGGACTGCGGGCCTTCAGGCCGGGGCCGGGTCCTCCCGGGAAGTGTTTGGGGGGGATTCCACACGCGCTGCCTCAGCGGGACCCACCTCCCCTCCTAGTGCTACCGCGATCACAACCTGAGCCCAAACGGCTCTGCGCCGGCCTTCCCGCTGTGCGCCATGCAGCTCTTCTCCCACATGCACGCCGTCGTCAGCACCGTCACCTGCATGCGACGCAGCTCCATCCAGAACACCTTCAGCATCAACCCAGGTAGGACAGGCCCAAGGCCTGCAGAGTGGGCCGGGGACCCGGGAAGGGGGGCCTCCGGCGGGAAGCACGGGGTGGGAGAGGTGGGAACTGTTCTGAACACCTGAGGATTTGTCCCCGCAGTAGACAGGGGCAGAAAAACCAGCCTAGAGCAGTGGAGGCAGGAAATGATTGACAGGTCCATGGGACAGCAATCAGAGGCATCTGCGTGCCCTCTCTGTGGCTTCTCGCTTACTTCTGCTGTGCTCTCTCTGTGTCCTGCTCAGAAATCGTCTGTGACCCCCTGTCCGACTACAATGTGTGGAGCATGCTTAAGCCTATAAACATGTCCGGGGCATTAGAGCCTGATGACAAGGTTGTGGTCGCCGCCACCCGGGTGAGTATGGGCCCCTGGTCAGGGTGCACAGGGCCAGCACTGAAAGGGCTGGCGGGGCTCTCGCATTTGATTCGCTGTGCTGGGGAGCCTGCAGTGGAAAGGGCTCCAGGCTCTGGGCTCCCCGGGTTAGCCGTGGTCCCAGGATACACACACTCCCTTGGCTGCACGGGGAGAGGGGGCCTGGCGCCCGGTCCGAATTGCCATTTTCAACGCCTGTCTGCCCTGCCTTTTTCTCTGTACCCAGCTGGACAGTCGTTCCTTTTTCTGGAACGTGGCCCCAGGGGCTGAAAGCGCCGTCGCCTCCTTCGTCACCCAGCTGGCTGCCGCCGAAGCCTTGCAGAAGGCACCTGACGTGCCCTCCCTTCCCCGCAATGTCATGTTCGTCTTCTTCCAAGGGGTAGGGGCTCCTCCAAGGGGGCGGGGCAGGGCAGCAGGCAGGGTCAAGGTGGGAGTGACTGTGGAGGTAAGAGTGACTGTCATTTGGGGACAGTCTGGGCACTTAACCTGAGTTATGCAGTAGAGAGCTTTGGAGGCATCTCCACGTGTCCCCCCCCCCGAGTCACACATTTTAGGCAGCTGTCGCAGCGTGCCTGGTGGCCTGGGATCCGGATCAGTGGGCTGCTCCCCCCGCCCACTGATGCGATCTTTGGGAGGCCTCCTTTACTTTTATTCTCTGGACTCTCTTGCTGCCACTTCCACCCAAGAGCCCTGAGGCTCCTGCCCCCTCCCCTGCCGCCCCCACAGCCTGGCCCTGGAATAAGAGGACGGCAGCCGCGGCTGAGTCCACGGAGGGGAGGGCGAGGCAAGAAGCAGGCACATAACAGCTGATGTTCGCCTCAGGCCTTTACCGAGGCTGCTCTGCCGGTTTCTGGGCTCCAGAAGTCCTGTGATGCACACATGTGAGGAATAGTCACAGCTGGGAGGCTGGGCAGGGAGGCGGGTGAGGTCACGTGACTGTGTAAGCTGGCCAGCGCTTGCAGTGACATGAGACCATAGCCTTTGCACCTCATGCCCTGGTGATCTGGCCTCTGGAGGCTGAGCCTGTCCCGACCTTTCAGAATCTCTGTTCCCTTCCCCACCCGTCTTCACCTCCAGGAAACGTTTGACTACATCGGCAGCTCCAGAATGGTGTACGACATGGAGAAGGGCAAGTTTCCTGTGCAGTTAGAGAACATCGACTCCTTCGTGGAGCTGGGGCAGGTGTGCTGCCCATGCCCTCCTCCCTGTCCCTCCTGCCGACTTCTGCCTCCGCTGTTCTGTGCCCTCCTTGCCACTGCCTCTTCCCTGACTTTTCTCGGACCTTCCTCCTTTCTCCTGGGCACGGGCCACAGCAGGCGCTGACTAAGTGTTTCTTCATTCTCCCCCAGGTGGCCTTAAGAAACTCTCTGGAGCTTTGGATGCACACAGACCCCATGTCTCAGAAAAATGAGTCAGTACACAATCAGGTAATCTGAGCATCTTTCCCCCTCACCTTCTGTTTCAGCAGCTCAGAATCTGGGCACCCCTCACCCGGGCCTTACCCCACCAGCCCCCAGGGCCTGTGAGACAGGACCTCAGGTAGGGTACCAGCTCCGGGGTGAGCAGCACGGCTGTTATAGCCCCGTGGGAAGAGCCCTGAGGACCGCCCGTGGCCCTGATGCCCTGGGTGGGGCAGTTCTCCGCCTCCACACCTAGCAGAGCACGGGACTGCCTGGCCCCCTCCCTCTCCACCGCCCCCACTGTCCAGGCTGCCCTGCCCGGTTCCCAGCTGTGTCAGACTCTACCCTAAACGTCCTCCACATTCCCCACTCTTTGTTCAAGACCCTCCCTCCTCTCAGACTCCAGCTTTGAGCCTGGTTTCCTCATGAGATTCCTGCCATTCCAGTGGCACCCTCCCCGCTCTGGGCTCCTGTGTGGCATTTGGTGCAGTTTTGCATTGTCACTTGCTTCTCAAACTCTGCACAAGTAGGAAATTAAGCACCTAGTGAGAATAAGACCGCGTGAGCTGCAGGACATTCAGAGCCTGGATCCCAAAAGTCTCGAGGAGCTAGGGTGCGGGAGGGCTGGGGGCAGCTCCACAAGCTGGGGACTTGAAGGAGGGAGCGTCGTGGGCCTAGGAGGCACGTCCGGCTTCCCTGTCCCCAGCCTCCCCTGAGCTCCCCCTCTCCCCACAGGTGGAGGCCCTCCTAAGTACCCTGGAGAAGAGCGGGGCTGGCGTCCCTGCCGTGGTCCTCCGGAGGCCCAACCAGTCCCAGCCGCTCCCACCATCCTCTCTGCAGAGGTTTCTTCGGGCTCGAAACATCTCCGGCGTTGTCCTTGCCGACCACTCTACCGTCTTCCATAACCGGTAAGAGCCACTGAGCCCACATCCTCTTCCTTCTCGGAGAGATCTGTCCCGTAGTCTGGGGCCCAGAGAGGTGAGTGTCTCCTGTGTCTCTCCCCTCCCCTCCAGCACCCTCTCCAAATTTCAGGTCAATTTGTGTTCTTTGTTTAGTGACCTGCTCACGTCTAAGCTGGTCACCTCATGTGGCTTGACGTCATCTTAGAAAACGGGGCCCCCTCAGCCTCTCCGCACTTGGGCTGCCTCCCCCTGCTCTCCCGAGGCCTGGGTCCCTGGGGCCGCCAGCAGAGGGCAGCATCCCCAACAGGAGGGCCCTGAGGACAGTAGCTGGCGGCTCTGGGTCCTTCCTCCCTGCCCCCCAGGGTGCTGGGCTGGGCGGGATGCAGACAGTACTCAGACTCTGAAATGTAATGTGTTCTTGCCTTTGGGGTAAGAGTGTGCTCTGCGGCTGAGGGGACTCCACGGATAAGGGGTAGAGCCCTATTAGTCACCTCTCTCCTGGTCCTGGGCACCCCAAACTGCCCCTAACTGAAGCCCTGGGCTAATGGGACTTCTTACTTGGGCCAGATTGCTAGGCCCCCAACTTCCTTCTCTCTTCCATGAAGCCAGAGGGGCTTCTGAGTAGACCTGCTTAAGCTTTGGTTCTCTGACCCCAGCCGAGGAGCACCTTGCTTATTTAGGGCAGGGACACTTCCAGCACCTGAGGTCAGCCATCTGCTCCATGTGTGACCCCGGCATCACTTCTGGTTGAAGGAATAGGCCTCGTTTGCACACAGTTGGCCTTGATTCTATGTGTGGCCGGCATTTGTTGATGCTGAAAGCTGGGAGCTCTCCTCCAGGCTCTTCTAAGCTCCGCCTCTACGGAGCCGCCCTGGGAGCATATGGCGGTTGGACCCAGGGCAGTGTTGTGTGTCTGGGAAAGCCCCGTGTTCCTCCCCCTCAGCTGCAGCCACCCTCAGTGTTCATGTTCATCGGAACCATCATCCAAGGGCTCTGGTGATATGGGGCATGGTGCCTGCTCCCCAAAAGTCCTCTCAGCCGTCTGCAGCCCAGACTATGGGGAAGCGTCTCTTCTGTTTGAAGACCTCCCAGGAAGGGAGGAGACTCCGACATTCTGATCTCATCTTCCTCTTCTGCCTCGTCTGTTGGGAGGGTCCTTGTGTTTCACTGCTCTTGCTCTCCACACCCTCTCCAGTGGGGACCCTCATTTTCTGTTCCTTCCCCCCGGATGATGAAAACACACACCAGGCTCCTACACGAAGGGCCTTGAGGGAGGCCCGGGGCAGGGCCCTGGCTGTGTGTGGCCGAGGCTCATGCCGGCTCTCCCGGCAGCTATTACCAGAGCATTTACGACACAGCGGAGAACATTAATGTGAGCTACCCCGAGTGGCAGAGCCCCGAAGAGGACCTCAACTTCGTGACGGACACTGCCAAGGTAACACTCGCCTGGCTGGGTGGGATTGTGGGGGACATAGCGAAGATGGTTAGAAGGGCAGCACGCGCGGGTAGAAGAGGTGGGCCGTTCAGCCCCTCTTCCCGCCTGCCATAGGCCCTGGCAGATGTGGCCACGGTGCTGGGACGCGCCCTGTACCAGCTCGCAGGGGGAACCAACTTCAGCGACAGCATTCAGGCCGATCCCCAAACGGTAAGGGCAAGTGGGGCCCGCCTCCTGTCCGGCTCTGCTCACACGGCAGCCCGTCCCAGCTGCACTTGACTTGCCTCCTCCCCCAAACCCGGGACCCCAGCGTGCCAGCGTGGACGCCCGCCGTTCCAGGCACTCCTGGGTGGGCTCCCACACCCTGGTGAACCACTCTGCCTTCCCAGCCCCGGAGCCCCTGGCCGGGGTCTCCACTGAGCACTGCCTGGGCTCCGGGTTGTGAGCTTGCTGCCTCTTCCTGCCCCAATCCCAGGTCACCCGCCTGCTCTACGGGTTCCTGGTCAGGGCCAACAACTCCTGGTTCCAGTCCTTCCTCAGGCAGGACCTGAGGTCCTACTTGGGTAAGCACGCGCTGCGCGAACGGCACCCTTCGCTGAGGCAGGGGATGGAGAAAGTCATCGGCTTGGTTTAATCTCTGCTTTTTTTTTTTTTTCCCTTCTCTCTCCTTTCCTTTTTTTCTCCTCTGTTTTCCTTTCTTTCTCCTGATATGTGTTGGGTCCATTCCCTTAACCTTCCCTTCTCTGGCTCCCGCTAACCTTGGGCTCTTCCTTCCTCTCCCACCCACACTCACACCCACCTTCCAACCTTCCCTTCCCTGTGGCGTCCACTCAGGGGACGGGCCTCTGCAGCATTATATCGCTGTCTCCAGCCCCACCAACACCACTTACGTGGTACAGTATGCCTTGGCAAATCTCACTGGCCAGGTGGTCGACCTCCCCCGAGAGCAGTGCCAGGATCCGAGTAAAGTCCCCAATGAGAACAAGGATGTGAGTGGGATTGGGGGGCGGAGGTGCCCCTTATCCCCAGGGGAAGTCGGACAACGTCCTAGGCCCAGCTGGACCCAAGGGGTTGGGATGCAGAGGCAGAGGGATGCGGCCCCTTGAACTTGAGTGTTGGAGGGCAGGAGCCCGGGGGAAAGCAGAGCACGTCTGGGGGAGAGAGGGTTGCCTCAGCCCCGCGCCGTGGCCCGTCCCCCTCTGCAGCTGTACGAGTATGCGTGGGTGCAGGGCCCTCTCAACGCCAACGAGACGGACCGGCTGCCCCACTGTGTGCGCTCCACGGTGCGCCTGGCCAGGGCCCTGTCCCCTGCCTTTGAACTGAGGCAGTGGGGCTCTACGGAGTACTCCACATGGACTGAGAGCCGCTGGAAAGACATCCGCGCCCGCATATTCCTGGTAGCCAGCAGAGAGCTGGAGGTGAGCCGGGCGGGGCATGCCAGCGGGGCCCCTGCCCTCTCCCTGTTGCCTCTTACCCCCGACCCACTTCATCTCCCATTTGCTCCCCATTTGCCACCAAAACCTGCTGCAGCCGGGTCCCCTGTCAGATTTCGCCCTGCCACGAAGTCTGTCTACACTGACGGTGGGGGGGTGTGTTCATGCTAAAGGTGGGCTCCTGTCCAGCCCCACGGAGGAGCTGCTCACCCTGCAGGGTGCCTGCAGCTCCACTCTCAGCTGGGATTCCCCCCTGCCATCGCGAGGCTGTGCACGGGCTCCACAGTTTATCCAGTCCCCGTCCCAAGTACATCATAGTTGCCACCAGACAGTCAAAGTCATGGGTCTTAACTTCAAGATGCTAAAAATCTAGGGACTCCTGGGTGGCTCAGTCAGTTAAATGTCTGACTTTGATCTCAGCTCAGGTCATGATCTCATGGTTCTGTGAGTTCGAGCCCTGTGTTGGGCTCTGTGCTGACAGCATGGAGCCTGCTTGGGATTCTCTCTCTCTCTCTCTCTCTCTCTCTCTCTCTCTCTCCTTCCTTCTCTCCCTCCCTTTCTTTCTCTCTCTCTCTCCCCCCGTCTCTGCTTGTACTCAGTCTCTGTCAAATAAACTTAAAAAAAAAAAGATGCTTAAAATCTTAGTAATACAAAGTTATGGAAGAACAGAAATACTTCTCTTTCCAAACGGAGAGGCTCCATCTTCCAGTCGGGAAGGCGTTGCCTGTGATCGCTCAGGACTTGGGGTCAGGAGGCAGCTCCGGGCTTCCAGCGTCCCAGCCCCCTGCCCCAGGCGGTGGTCCAGAGCTGCGCTGGGTTCTGAGAGCGTCTTTCTCCTTCCCTGCCCACACCCTCTGCAGTTCATCACCCTGATGGTGGGCTTCGGCATCCTCGTCTTCTCTCTCATCGTCACCTACTGCATCAATGCCAAGGCCGACGTCCTTTTCATTGCCCCCCGGGAGCCAGGAGCGGTGTCTTACTGAAGAGGAGCCCAGCTCCTGCCAGCTCTGCGGTTCACATCCTAGACCACTTGTCCCACGGGGACATAAGCCACTGGTGTGTCACTGGAACCTCTCTGGGCCTGCTCAGACTGGAATTACCATGAAGAAGTAGAACTGCCCAAAAGAGACAGACAGAAACAAGTTCCCTCTCTCCAGCTGCCCCTCCCTGCCTCCCCTTCCTCAGCCCTGCCAGATTCCAGGAGGGCAGATAGAAGCTTCTCGCTCCTATTTGACTCCTAGCTACCCACCCTACCTTATCCTTCTTCAGGGTCCCTCTTCCCTTCCCATCCTGCCCTAGACCGCCCTCTACTCCCCACCCCACCCCATTCCCAACTTTCCCGACCAGGAAGAAGGACGTGAAGCCTGAATGCCAGGAACAGACCACAAGGAAGCCCCGAGATCCCGGCCAAGCAATCTGTCTCCCTCCTGCTGTCCTGTGTCCAGACCCGTAGATGGCACCTCGGCTGGGGTGTGCTGCCGGGTCGCCTCCGGCCCACAGTGCTAGCTGTAATTTTATTAAGCTGTAATATTTGTTTTGTTGTTTTGTGTGTGTGTGTGTGTGTGTGTGTGTGTGTAAATATATAAATGGCAAGTTTCATTAAAAGAGACTGTCCCACAAGACTTATATGCGTCATTCCTCTGTGCCCTCCTGTTTGGTGACCTCAGACTGGAAGTCATGGAATTGTCACCACGTGCTCCCTCTGGGCCTCCAGAGGCCCAAGGAATGTGGCTGTGTCAAAAACGGGAAGTCCTCAAAGTAGGGCTCCCGTAGCCTTGGAGCCCAGGTTTCCCTTGTAAGAACCATGTTAGCATCGTTTTTTCCCCTTGGTATTTGACAGACACTCGCTGGGCTACAGAAATGAAGGGGACTCAGCGCCTACCCTGAGTGGCTTGCAGTTGGGGTGAGGGAAGAGACAGGCGCAATCCAGGGTGGTCAGGTGAGGTATCTCCAGAGTGCTCCAGTGACACAAGGATTCGGGCACCAGGGATGGCATCTGGGAAGGCTGCTCAGAGGAGGAGGCATCTGGGCTGCATTCTGTGGAGTTCAGCTGTGGAAGCACAGGGCTTTTGGGAACAGTAAATTATTCGGGGTGCCACAGGAGAGGGGGCGGGGGCCAGGTCATGGAGGGTCTGGGGTGGCATGCCAAGCAGCTTGTCTCTTCTGTTGCTGGTGGGCATTTTGTAGACGGAAGTGAGTGGCTTTGGACTCTTCTAGAACGAGAGCCTTGGCTCTGGGAATACCCCAATGCCCTGAGTCTTCATGGAGCAAAGTTCCAGAGCGTAACTGCACTGCCAAATGACAGGCCGTGGCTGAGTCTGTGGAAGGGGAAGACCCCTCGGGAGTGGTGCCAGAGGCCAGCCTTGTCCCCTCCCCGCTGCCCTGAGGCCCAGAAGACAGCTCGCTAGGAAGGGCCAGCTCCTGGCCCTTTTATCTTCTCACATCCTGCCGAGGGGGCGATTTGCCTCCAGGTTTCTCTCCGAGTTCCCTCGGGCGGAGAGGCACAGGTTGGCATGTCTGGGGGGCTGGGATGTGGAAATGAACCCTGGTTCCCCCCCCCCATACCCCTCCTGGCAGTAGGCAGGCGCAGCTGCCACCGTTGCTGGGCTGACTCTGCGCCTCCCTCGGCCAACAGGGTCTCCCGGCGGACTGGGCAGTGAGCTCCCGGTCCTGGCAGCTTCGGGAAGCGGGGAAGTGGCCGGGCACCAGCGTGGGGGCTGTGGGGGGTGGCAGTACAAGCCATGGGGCCCTCCCCCTCCAGTCTCCTCAACACCAGCTTGTCTCCTGCCTTCCATCCTCCCCCTGCCTCACCACCCACCCAAATTCAAAACCAGTCACCTGGGCTCTTTCCAGGCTCTGTACAGGGCACGAACCGCCAGCTGACCCTTTCAGGACCCCCTCTCTGAGATCTTGGCGGGCTTATCCTCGGTACCTGCTGTGCCCTGGAGACCCCATGGGGCTGCCTGGCAGCAGGTTAGGGCCACAGACTTTAGCTCCTCAGGCTGCACCCCCTACCCTCCGTCTGGGTGACCCTTGCTCTGAGATGATGAGTCACTTCCCACAAGGCTCCCCTGTCCACACTCCTACCCATGCCCAGGGCCCAGCCCCAGGACCCAGGACCCAGGACCCAGCCTGTCCCTATGTCTTGCCGCCCCTCGCGCCTCAGCACAGAAGGCTTTCCTGTTACCTAGTGTTTCTCCCCCAGCCTCTATGAGTGAAGGATCTTCTGGTCCCCACATCTGGGTCACTGCTCCCAAAGGCACATCGTGGGAGGAGATACTTTCATCCAGAGTCTGGTGTTCCGTGCCAAGACCTTACCCTACTCAGAAGGACTGCTTCCTCGTGGAACCAGATAAGACCCTAGAAATGACATGTGCGGTCTAACTCATCTGATAGACGGGGGGGACCCGTAGCCCAGAGGAGTGAGTGGCTTGCCCAAGGTCACGGCAAATGAGAGCTGAGCTGAGACTAGAATGTTTCTTGTATCCATGCTGGCAGGCACGGCAACAATAAACGTTTATTGAGCATGGCTGTGGGCAAGGCGCTCTGTCCTGGCATCGGAAAAGGCTGTGATGAGATACAGCACCTTCCCTTAGAGACTTCAGATCGCGGAGTCTAGATGGCAGGATGGGACAGGAAGCAAGATAAATAAGCAGGCGGGGCCACATGTGCTCCATGCAAAATCAGTGCTCGGAACAGGTTCTACCTGAGCCCAGAGGACAGAAGGTAGCCTCTGGGCGGGGTCGGTTCGTGTAGAAAGTGCTCAGGATCAGGGATTGTCTGGTGTCACGAATGGCGTGTGTGGCACTGAAAAGGGCATCCCTGCTCTGGGCCCTGGTGGTGTCTTCATGATGAGGAGTCAGACAAGGGGCTGCCCTCCGAGGTCCCTTCTGGCCCTGACGGCCGCCCTCTGTATAGCCTCTCTTCCATCTCCTGGTCTCCCTTCAGTCTTAAACTCCTCAGGGCAGAGGGGGGAGGGGGCGGAGAGGGGGGGAATAAAGGTTGATCAATTCTTGAACTTTTTTTGTTTGTTTGTTTATATATTTTGAGAGAAAGAGAAAGAGAGCAAGAGAGCACGAGGTGGGGGAGGAGCAGAGAGCGACTCCCAAGCGGGCTCCGTAGTATCATTAAGAGCCCGATGTGGGGCTCAAACTCGTGAACCTTGAAATCATGACCGGAGCCGAAATCAAGAGTCGGACACCCAACCAACTGAGTCACCCAGGACTCCAATCCTTGAACTATTTAAGGTAGTTTGAAAGTTTTCCTTCCAGAGAGGGAGGTCTGAGGGGCACTTCTTCCTGTCACTCGGCATCCCATCCTGAGACAGAGCCTGGCAGGCCTCTCTCAAGTTGAGCCTGGGGAGCAGAGCCCTTTAAAATCGGGGTCCAAACGGGCCTCAGGTCGGATGTTTATTCCTCCCTGACTCCACACGCAGCAGGGGCCCTCCCAGTCCTGCGGTGGAGCCACAGCTGCCCGGGTCCCCAAGTAAGGAAAACACGGGGCAGGAGTGCGGGGGGCACCTCAGGAGGCCGAAGAGATGATGCAACTGTGAGCAACTCTCCAGGCTCTGGCTCCCGCGGGCCGGCCGCTCCGGGGCTGGGGCTGGGACCCTGGAGCCCTGGAGTCCCCTTCTGCCCACACCTCACCCGAGGACTTGGCAAAAGTGCGGGGACAGAAGGGGAAACGGAGATGAAAGGCGGGCATCCTAAAAAGAAGAAACTAGGAAAGGGAAACAGGAAGTGGGGAGGAAAGGGAGCGGCAGAGAGGAGCCCAGGAGCCGCCAGAGGGGGAAAGGCTGGCGGCGGGCGTGGCCTGGAGGGAGTGGGCCCCGGGGCTGCTGGTGACAGATGGGTGGACACAAAGAGTAGACAGATGGATGGGGGAGGGAGGAGGGAGGCTGGAGGGCAGTGGTTGGAGGCCTTAATGAGATTGGAGCTGGGCTCGGGGCTGAGGAGAGGTGAGTGGAGAGGAAAGAAGAAAGGCCAGGCCGCCTCAGGAGACAAAGGCAGTGAGGCCTGGGGGCCAGGGCGGGAGAGGGCCCGGGCGAGAGGGGGGGGGGGTCCAGCCCTGGCTGGCAGCAGAGAGAGTGACAGATTGCGTGGTTCGCCACAGTGGGGACCCGCTGTCACCTTCTAGAGGCACAGAGAGGGAGACCCAGAAAGACCGACTGACACAGACTGGCAGACTGCGGAGGCCGACCAGGAGATGGAAGTTCTCAGCAAGGTGCTCCCGGGCCTCCCTCCCGCCTGGACTCCTCCCGCTGGCTTGCTCCTGTGACCCAGGACGGGGGGGGGGCCGCTCTCTCACCTGATGAGACCCCCCCCACCCTGGGGCTGGGGCAGCGGCCACTCCGGGGAAAGGGTCAGGCAGCGCGGCACCGCAAGGGTTAACACCGTCTGCTCTCCCTGCCAGCCGCCTGCCTGGTTGGGTCCCCAGGGCTCCCCACATATGTCACCCCCTCTCCTGCCAAGCCCACTGCTTCCCAGCTCCTCCAGGCCCTCCCCCCACCCTCAAGGACTAGGCCCGGGCCCCTGTGTCTTCCCTGCACTCCAACCTCCCATCAGGCAATCGACTTCCCATCTACCTCGCAGGCTGTGCAGACGTGAAAAGACGGCAGGTGACAATCTGAGGAAGTGAACACCCATAAAATGCAAAATAATGACCAACCATAGAGTCATGCTTATCCGTCATCCCCAGGGCCTGCTCTTCCTGCCTTCCTTACGGCTGCAGGGACCCCCTCCCCACCACAGCTCCCCGGGGGTTCTCCTTCCCCTTCGGGCCTGGCCAGGGCTGCTGGCTGCCTGGGCTGACCTCAGAGTGCTCCCTGCTCCCTGGACCGGAAGGCCTCAGACACCTGCGTGCAGGAAGGCCTTGCCGCCTTCAGATCGCCCTGCACAGAGACGCGGGGGTGCACTTTGCCTGGCACTTCCCGCACGCGCTGTGTGACAGAGGAAGGCAGCAGGATCTCCACTTCACAGAGGACAAAAGAGCCTCAGTCAAGATTAATGACCCGTCCAAGGTCACCAGGACTTGGAGCCGGGTCCACCAGGGCCCCCATTCAGCACAGCTACTAATTCTGTCAGGCCTTCATGCGCGTAGCTCCTCTTTATCACACGCTTGTGTTTCTTCTTAGCTACTCCCCTGAAGAACTTGAATCCCCGCATGAGGATAGAGGCCAGAGTCCAGGGTCCCCGGGTGAAGAAGGAGGTCCCAGGGCGCGCTCTCACCCTGCTCACCATCACACCCCAGCTTGTGGGACAGCTCAGCTGCGTATGTCGAGGGTAGAATCATAGGACTGAATTGTCAGAGGCAAACCACCTACAAGCAGGGAGGCTGGGGACTGGGACCTCCCCACGCCCCCCCCCCCCCGTTCCTTCCTGCCTTCCCCACCCCCACCACAGGGCCCCTCTACTTCTCAATGTCTCCTCCTTTGGGATCCCAGCCTCCGGGCTTCAGTCACGGTACCTTCTCCCTAGAGTCCCGTCTATCCTGTCCCCCCTTGTCTTTCCCCCACATTTTGGTGCTTCCTCACAACTGTGTGCTCTGGGCCTCCTCCGTCTGTCTCTGCCCTGTCTTGGGGCCTCCCTCAGAGCTTGGGGCTCTCCTGTACCACGCAGTATCT